AAATACTCATAATTTCATTGATGTTATTAGTATTTTTAGCTTCTTGCGATGCATCCAATTTAGCAAGTCTTTCAATCAATTGGTAATAAACATACTGTTTTGGTTTCTTATTATATTTCAACAATAAAGCACTACCGGATTTAGTTTTAGCTCTTGTAGATGGATTTCGGCCAGATGGCGAGGCACTGCTACTCGATTTCAGCCTTTTCACTTCAGATGATGCCGAAAGAAGGGGTTTTACAATGTCTTTATATTTTGAGGATACGGATCCTTTAACTTGCTTGGATGGATCAAAGTCTCTTCGATGAGCATTGGTTCTGTCTAAAATATCCTTGAACTGCAACTTATCGTCCGCCGTCTGATATAGAGGCTTCTTCAAAAACAGTAGATCATATAGGCCCTGTGTTCCTCGATAAGTAACGGGTCCCACCTTGATATCTCCACTCGAGAGAGAGAAATTTGACTTTTCGTGATCCCATAGACCAATCGTCAGTTCTCATATCATGTTTTAAGCCATAAGAATGATCTATTTCATCTGAATCTTTATAGTATTTATCCACATACTCTTGGGCTACTTTGGGATACTGATCCAAAAATTCTTCATATGCTCCTGATCTTTCGTGAATCGATTTCTGTAGATCCTCTTTCAACCCTTCTAACGACGGTTCATAGAAGACATCCTCATCATCATCATCATCATCATCATCACTTTTTAAATTCGCACTTGTTTGAGCAAGAACCTCTGTTGGCTGAAACTCAACATTTTCAAGAATTTTCGGTTTAAATTTAACGTGTGTTCCAGGAGCTTCCTGCTTAATTTTTTCGTGTTTGATTCGGGTTTTTCCATTAACCTCTTTTTTAACAAGCTCTTTTAGAGGGTCTGTTAAAGGGTTCATTATCCTATTGAGTGCCTCATCTTCCTCGTTTCTCTCTAGTTTTAAGGCCAAATACTTTTTCCTTATAGATCTAGCAGCATTCAGTATTTTTTTCTGGATATTTTTATCAACTTCGCTTGGATTCATGATGATCAACTGAAGACAGGACCAGCTTTTATACAGACTTGTATACAGCTATACAGCTATACTGGTTAGCTTTTAGAATGACCTGTATACTGGTACATAGGACAGGAGACAGATTTTAGACTGCTTCACAGGTCCAGAGACTGGTCTGACACAGCTTTTAGACTGACCCGTATACTGATACACTGATCAGGAGACAGCTTTTAGACTGCGAAACAGGTCGAGAGACTGGTCTGCTATTGGTTTTAAGATGATCTGTATAGTGCTACACAGGTTCAGAGACAGCTATGATAGAGCTTTTGCAGAGGTGTGTACACAGCAATGCCCTAACGGATACTGAGGAGTACTTTTCTTTTATGGAGATATATAGGTGTCGAACTGGCATCGATACCTACCCTTCGTAATATCGTCATCCTTAACAATAACCAGGAATCCGTATCTGTCCTTCCAACACTCTCTACATATTTGCTTGAACGTATCAAACGATATATCTGTGTTTACATGATCGTCATATACATGTTTCAGGTTCGTATCATCCTGCTTGAAAAGTACCAACATGTTAGCATTATCTCTAACCAATTGTTTCGGGATTTTCGAATACGTCTGGTAAAGATAGAAAGAGTCAATAGTGTTATGGCGGCCCATGCAAAAGTAGTTCCTTATCTTGTCCTTTTTTCTCGCAGGCTACTACGTCAAAGATAAACACCGAATCTGGCTGAGCTGTTTGCGATCTACAACGGTTTCATTATCACTGTATCCGTAAAATTTTACACCGGCAACCCGTTTTAAAACCGCTTCTAGGAACTTATACTTATCCTGGTTCAATGATTTGGAATAAACATGGACGTTTCTGAATCTAAGAGCGTTTTCATCGGTTAAAAGACTAAGCATAACATTTCCCCCCCCCCCCCCCCCCCCCCACCCCCCACTTGATCCACATATTATTGCTCTAATCGTGTTTGGTAAAAGGTCCCCATGTCTCTTTTCAATCCTTGTCTTTTCTATGTCAAAGTTGTTGATCTCAATTTTAATTTTCTGCTTTTTCATTCTCATCGTATATAAACGATGCTCACTCTAGCTCGGTTTCATTCTTAATGAATACGTCATCGAGTGCAGGTCTTTTAAATAGCGCCATCAACAAGCTTCCGTTTGAAGCTCATTTACCTGGATACTCCTACTGTGGTCCTGGACCTAGACTGAAGCAGCGATTAACACGAGGCGATAAGCCGAAAAACAAATTGGATAGTTACTGTAGAGAACACGATATCGAATACGCCCTAAAGCCGGATCTACAACAGAGACATCGGGCTGATAAAGTGTTGGAGAATAAATCGTGGGAACGATTTAAGGCTAAAGACGCTAGTTTCGGCGAAAAAAGTGCTGCTTGGTTCGTAACTACTGCAATGAAAGCTAAACGTAAACTCGGTATGGGTCGACCGAAAAAATTGAAACCCTTCAGTTCGTACGTGGTTTCTAATGTGAGAAAGCAAATGAAGCATCGTGGGGGAGGAAGCAAAGACTTTATTAAATCGGCTCTTCAGGCAGCTCGTAAGACTATTAGAACGGCTGGCGGACGTCGGAATATCAAAGTTCCGCGAGTTATTCCAGTACCGAAATTAGGCGGCATTATTCCGCTGATTCCTCTCTTTGCCGGGCTCAGTGCCCTCGGGGCATTATCTGGCGGTGCCGCCGGTATTGCGAAAGCTGTCAACGATACCCGTTCTGCCACAGATAAACTCGCCGAGTCTAAACGTCACAACCAAACGATGGCAGCCATTGCATTGGGAAAAAAGGAGAATGGATTATATTTAGCCAAACACAAGACCGGATATGGACTCTATTTGAAAAAGATGCCAAAAAACTACCAATAAAGCTACCCAAGCGGCCACTTAATGATCAGGATATCAAACGATACGTTAAAAAACTTGAAATTTCCAATTTTAGAGGCGTGTTTATGCGAGATAACTTACCATCGCGTCCCAACAAAAACGAATGTGGTGAAGTTAATTTGGACACAAATACGGGGTCGGGAACGCATTGGGTAGCCTATAAAAAAAGTGGCGATAAAGTGATTTACTTTGACAGTTTCAGGAACCTCAATACTCCGAATGAACTAGTTCGTTATTTTAAAAAATGTAAGATAGTTTTCAATTTCGACCAGTATCAGTCCTATAACTCGTACAATTGCGGCCATCTTGTACTAAGCTTCTTGTTTAATAGTTCGATATAAATGTGGCATCGTGTTAATGTTAGCTTAGTCATGTCTCAGACATTCACGTTAAAAGGTCGAACCAGTTTCTTGAGCGTTGATTTTACTCCACCTATCGAGCTCGATCCTGGTTATAGCTATTCATTGGCTCTCATCTCGTTCACTACTTGGAATTCCATTCCCAACATTGAACCAGGCCGAAACAAGTTCTACTATAGCGAAGAAGGAAAGGAAAAACAATTGGAAATTCCAACTGGATCGTACGAGGTTGCAGATATTGAAGCCTATTTACTAAACCAATTATCAAATGCAACTGTAATAGAACAGATTTCTCTCAAACCAAAGAATAATACATTAAAGTTTATGCTAAAGTGCATATACGATATTAATTTCAAACCCAAGGATAGTATTGGAAAACTTTTGGGATTCTCAGAAAAACCTCTGAAAGCCAATTCTTTGCACGAATCCGATCTGCCCGTAGAGATCATATCAGTGGCAACTATAAGGATTGAGTGCAACATCGTTTCAGGCTCCTACTACACTAGTAATCCATCCCATACGATCTACGAGTTTACACCAGCTGTTGATCCTGGATACAGAATTATAGTTGATCCTCGAAACTTGATCTATCTTCCTCAATAGAAACAGCATCGATAATTTAACAATCAATATACTCGATCAAGAAGCAAGACCTGTTAATTTTAGAGGAGAAGAGATTATAGTGAGATTAGAGCTGAAGAAGTATCGTCCTGGTTTTTAATCGTGGCTACTTAAACAGTGGTTTCAATAACTGTAACTCAGTCTGTACTCAGGCATCGAAGCAAGCGCTCACACACAAAAGTCTGATCCGGTTGAATTCTCTGGCCTCTAAATATGGCCACATCAGAAAAACTGCGAATATTTCAGTCGGTCAACACCGATGAGTCCATAGCTAGAGAAGAATGGCATACCTACCATCCTTTCACTAACTCTTTCAACTATAACGACGAAATCGAAATTGTTATCAATCAGCAAGACGTGTTTATGGATATCAGCCAAGCCGAAATCTATATCGAAGGAAAGTTTCACGAAGACACTACCGCTGGGAAAACAGGAAAATGTAATCTAACAATTAATGCGGGAGCATTTCTTTTCGAATCCATCACCTACGAATTAAACGGCAAGGAAATTGAGAGAATCCGAGATCCCGGACTCACTAGCACAGTGCGGAATCTCTTATGCCTCAACGATCAAGAGAGCACGTATTTGGGTAAAACCAATAGTGAACCATTATTGGACTTTGAAGATTTTTCAAATAGGGCATTATTTGTGATAGACTGCTCGAAACAAAAATAGTTTGGGGATTCTACGCCCACCGTCCACCGGTGGAGCTTCCAGCGTGCCTGCGCGTCCCCGCCTGACGTGCCATCTATCGGTACCTGCCGCAGGTGTAACATCTAGGTTCGGGGACCGTCCCGCTTCCCCGCCTGACGCGCCATCTCTCGGTACTTGGTGCAGGTGTCCGGTGCGCCATCTATAGGTTCAGTTGCCTATAATAGCCCCGGGGGGCTTTTGTAATTATCGCCCCCTGCCGTCTGTGAGACCTCTAGGTTCACCCTTAACCAATGAGAATCAATCCATTTTTCCAAGTGCGTTCCGGCGAGCCGCCAAGTGACAGGTGAAGCGTGGGTGACCGCGTCCGGCGTCCGTGGGTGCGCGGAGATTGTGTAATCCGCGGGAGGGCGAAAAAAAAATTTGTAGGAAAAAAAAAAGCCTAGTATTTATTAAAATTACAAGTTTCTGTTATTTTTTTTTTTATTGAACGAGAAAAATTATACTTTATTATCTATACAAAATTCACACTCATCGGGTTTGACAAATGTTACCATTTCATTTTCGCATTCAATACAAAACCACTCAGAATAAGTTGGTTTCTCATTTTCTTCAATTGTTTTATGTAGATCAATTTTCTCGAGTCGATCCAAGGGATAAACTGGTTTCGCACACTCGAAACATAGCTCCACAATGCCATTTTCATATTCTTCTTGAGAATCGAAAGACAAACCTTCTTCATTATTCGGACATGATTCCTGGAAGGTATTCTCGTATGTTCTAACAAATACTCTTATGTATTTTGTCAATTGACATAATTTCGTCTGGAATATATTCGATTGTTTAATTAAATTACAATAAAAATTATTAGACTTACCTTCGCTATGTCAGTTGCTGCACCAATCGTTGTTTTTTTAGTTGCCATTCTGACTGAATTAATTTTTTTAAATTTACTGTCGTGTCTAAATTCTACAAGCTCGATTATAGATCGAATGATAATCTGTTTACTTTACCGATCTCTTTATATAAAATGAAAATCGTTAATTCTTTTAAAAAGGCATATACCAACAGTAAAATCTAGAACATGTAAATTACATGTGACATTGGAAAGGATTGCCAATCCTATCGGTAGAACCTTAGCGTCTATTAATGCATACATTTTTTTAATTTATTACATTTTAGTCTACGACATAAATTGAAATTACCTACTGCCTTTTTTTCTTTTAATAATTACAATAGCGAACAAAAAGAGAAAGGATAACCGCGTGTATAAATACGGTCCGTATAAACTTAGCGTCTTTTAGCTGCATAATTTATTGCAATTTATTACATTTTAGCTACATTTTAGCATAATACATAAATTGAAATTACCTACTGCATTTTTTAATTTTAATAATTACAATAGTGAACGGAAAGAGAAAGGACAATCAAGTGTATAAATACGGCAATTTAAGCAGATCAGTTACTAGTGACTTGTGTTTTATAAGTATTTACTTGTGCTTAGATTTTTTAAAGGTAAGATTTAGTTCGTATTATTAATTTGTAATTATCTGATTAACTTGAAAATGCCATAATTTTTCAATCCCCTGAAACTAGAATTTTAAAATATATTTTAGATGTCTTTGCAGACACTCAACAATGTTGCCGCATTCAATTTCGCGACTCTAAAACTGTGCGATCTGGAGCAAAATAAGCCTTATCGAGTCCAACAAATCCAGGCACTGCAAACCGTTCATGGCCGAAGAGTTATTGTAGACTTGCCGGAGATTCAAAAAATTGTGTTTTTACCAGAAAGATTCAAATGTTTGACCAACGAAGAAATAGACTCGCTGAATAAGCAAAAAAGTATCAATCTGGTTTATAAAGGGAAAAAGACTCTCACAAGTGGTAAAGTGGCAAATGACCTAGAGTTCCTTGAACTCGAATAATAATTAACAAAGTAAGCTATTTCCATTAAAAATTGTATACTAATTTAGTTTTAAGTTTTTACATCTATAAAAAAACATAACATACACTAGACCTAACCCAGATAATTAGATAGCGTTACTCACTAAGCAAATCGCTAATACTAAAAATAATTAGTCAGCTCAAAGTTTCTATCATCCTTCAACTAATAAACTCAACGTGATAGTTATTCTCTTCAAATAATTCAAAAATGAGCAAACGAATTAAATTAGATTGGAATATTGTTGTTGCATTCAAAGATCCTAATTTTTTAGTAGTATTATGTAATTTTTAATAATAATTAAAAAAAATCAAACAAACAAATCGTTATTTTATTATCTGTCTTGAAATCTCGACAAATACAATGAGAAAGACCGAGAGAAAAAAGAAGGGAAACAGAGGAAAAAAGATTGCATGATCCCATGCTTTCGATTAGAATGTAATTGCCAACTACAGTCTTATTGGGAGCTTAGGAACATCCGAATGCTTGATCAGTCAGTCTTTTGACTTTTTTTACATTCACTTTTAAAATGATGAGTATAAATAATTATTCTTTAAATAAAAGTGAACGTTTGATTTTTCATAGTGAATGCTATGAAAAATCAAACGATCGAAATCGCAGACCTTGCCAGTTAGTATAATTTAATAATATTTAAATAAAAGTGGGCGATTGATGTTTTTGCTTTTTAGGGAAAAATGCTTAACTGCGAATACTGCGCCAAATCGTTTTCCAGGAAGGATAGTTTGAAGCGTCATGGGGACTGCAGAGCAGCCGTGAAAATTTACGAGCAATGTGGAGAAATCTTTAAATCAGAGGGAGCTCTCCAACGTCATCTGAAACAGAAACACCCTAGGGCCCCCAAACGCAAGGCTGAAAATTCGTCGGTCCCCATGGCTAAACAAGCTAGACTTGATCATTCTACTGGTGAGTTTTTCGTGACGTTTGTATAGTTTTTTGCTAATTTATTATTTCAGCTTCCACGTCATCTACGCGTAGGTGTTCGGATTGTGACCTGCAGATTCCAACCAGTCGATGGGCTGGGCATTTGCGGAGTATCCAACACCGGATGAACACCTGTGTGGAGCAGGAGGAAGGCGTACAGCTCGTAAGAACCTCTCTCAAGAACCGAATTGTTACGTACCGGCTTTCTTCAAAACAGCACCCTACCAGCGTAAAAGAATTTTTAAAACATTTGAAACAAAAATTTATCAAGCTGGTAGGGGATAATGTCAAAATATTTGGTCATATTAAAGTCGGCATGGAGCTTTTTGGGCGCTTCCTCCTGCAGACGAAAGATATGGAGGAGGTCAAGTCGTTCAACACCAAATATCAACTGGTGAGCGATGGTACCGATTTAGACGAGGTATTCCAGCAATTTTCAGCCATCATAGATAAAAAATGTGTGGAGTTTCAGGAAAAAGAAAGCGGTATGTTATTGTTTTTTATTAACTGTTAAATGATGAACAATCTATCTTACAGGCTGGGCGCTACAAAAACTACTCCATTTAGATATAGGTGTAAATAAGGCCAACCCTTTGAAAGCATCGTCTTATCTGCCGCTACCGCAAGTGATTGGCGCTAAGAAAGCTGTCCTAAATATACAAAATATGGACCAAAAGTGTTTCATGTGGGCGGTCTTGGCTCACCTACATCCAATCGATTATACTCAACATGCGAATAGAGTCGCGAACTATTCGCCTTTTGAGAACGAGCTGGACTTTACAGGTTTGGAATTTCCGATTAAACTCAAAGACGTTGGTAAGTTTGAACAGCTCAATAATATTTCAATCAACGTTTACGGACTCGATGAAGTTTATGAGAATGGTAGAAATATTATTGAAGTTGTGGGCCCCTTACACTTTACTAGATCTCGAAGAGCCAAACATGTGAATTTATTATTAATCAGTAATGATTATGGTAATAGTCACTACTGTTTAATAAGAAACATGTCTCGCTTGATTTCAAGTCAACTATCGAAACATAAAGAGGCTAAGCACTTGTGTGATGGATACTTGCTGTATTTTTCAACCGAAAGGAAATTAAAAGCTCATCAAGAGCACGACTGTGGTCACGTTTCGGTTAAACTTCCGATAATAGACTTGAAGAAAAATAAATACGGAGAAGAGGTTCCCGAGAATATTCTGAAATTCATAAATTTCGAAAAAAAATTTAAGGTACCATTTGTAGTTTACGCTGATTTTGAGACAATCATTGAGCCTGTTGATACCTTAGATAAAGATTTAGATCCCGAAAATTCCTACACTCTAAAAACTCACAAAGCCGTTCCTTATTTTTTCGCTTACTACATTAAATGCAATTTCGACTACTCTCATTCTTTTTTCAAGACTTTCAGGGGACCTGATGCACAAAAAGGTAGGATCTTTGAATGCAACAACAATATTCCAATTTAATTTAATTCGTTTGCTCATTTTTGAATTATTTGAAGAGAATAACTATCACGTTAAGTTTATTAGTTGAAGGATGATAGAAACTTTGAGATGACTAATTATTTTTAGTATTAGCGATTTGCTTAGTGAGTAACGCTATCTAATTATCTGGGTTAGGTCTAGTGTATGTTATGTTTTTTATAGATGTAAAAACTTGAAACTAAATTAGTATACAATTTTTAATGGAAATAGCTTACTTTGTTAATTATTATTCAAGTTCAAGGAACTCTAGATCATTTGCCACTTTACCACTTGTGAGAGTCTTTTTCCCTTTATAAACCAGATTGATACTTTTTTGCTTATTCAGCGAGTCTATTTCTTCGTTGGTCAAACATTTGAATCTTTCTGGTAAAAACACAATTTTTTGAATCTCCGGCAAGTCTACAATAACTCTTCGGCCATGAACGGTTTGCAGTGCCTGGATTTGTTGGACTCGATAAGGCTTATTTTGCTCCAGATCGCACAGTTTTAGAGTCGCGAAATTGAATGCGGCAACATTGTTGAGTGTCTGCAAAGACATCTAAAATATATTTTAAAATTCTAGTTTCAGGGGATTGAAAAATTATGGCATTTTCAAGTTAATCAGATAATTACAAATTAATAATACGAACTAAATCTTACCTTTAAAAAATCTAAGCACAAGTAAATACTTATAAAACACAAGTCACTAGTAACTGATCTGCTTAAATTACCGTATTTATACACTTGATTGTCCTTTCTCTTTCCGTTCACTATTGTAATTATTAAAATAAAAAAATGCAGTAGGTAATTTCAATTTATGTATTATGCTAAAATGTAGCAAAAATGTAATAAATTGCAATAATTTATGCAGCTAAAAGACGCTAAGTTTATACGGACCGTATTTATACACGCGATTATCCTTTCTCTTTTTGTTCGCTATTGTAATTATTAAAAGAAAAAAACGCAGTAGGTAATTTCAATTTATGTCCTGGACTAATATGTAATAAATTACAATAATGTATGCATTAATAGACGCCAAGGTTCTACCGATAAAATTGGCAATCCTTTCCAATGTCACATGTAATTTACATGTTCTAGATTTTACTGTTGGTATATGCCTTTTTAAAAGAATTAACGATTTTCATTTTATATAAAGAGATCGGTAAAGTAAACAGATTATCATTCGATCTATAATCGAGCTTGTAGAATTTAGACACAACAGTAAATTTTAAAAAAATAATTCAGTCAGAATGGCAACTAAAAAAACAACGATTGGTGCAGCAACTGACATAGCGAAGGTAAGTCTAATAATTTTTATTGTAATTTAATTAAACAATCGAATATATTCCAGACGAAATTATGTCAATTGACAAAATACATAAGAGTATTTGTTAGAACATACGAGAATACCTTCCAGGAATCATGTCCGAATAATGAAGAAGGTTTGTCTTTCGATTCTCAAGAAGAATATGAAAATGGCATTGTGGAGCTATGTTTCGAGTGTGCGAAACCAGTTTATCCCTTGGATCGACTCGAGAAAATTGATCTACATAAAACAATTGAGGAAAATGAGAAACCAACTTATTCTGAGTGGTTTTGTATTAAATGCGAAAATGAAATGGTAACATTTGTCAAACCCGATGAGTGTGAATTTTGTATAGATAATAAAGTATAATTTTTCTCGTTCAATAAAAAAAAAATAACAGAAACTTGTAATTTTAATAAATACTAGGCTTTTTTTTCCTACAAATTTTTTTTTCACCCTCCCGCGGATCACACAACCTCCGCGCACCCACGGACGCCGGACGCGGTCACCCACGCTTCACCTGTCACTTGGCGGCTCGCCGGAACGCACTTGGAAAAATGGATTGATTCTCATTGGTTAAGGGTGAACCTAGAGGTCTCACAGACGGCAGGGGGCGATAATTACAAAAGCCCCCCGGGGCTATTATAGGCAACTGAACCTATAGATGGACGGCGGATAGTTGGAATAGAAATTCGTATTTTGGTAACGGGTAAGTGCTTCTTGTGGAAAATTCAGGTCAATCGTTGACAGCCAGTATAAACAGAAAAATCCCAGTATTAATGAGCACGTTTTGAATATTGCCATTATTAAGAACGTCGACATGGTTGCCTCTATAACCTTATTAGAATTTATTCGTCGCAGCCAGCAGAAAGTATGGCTTCAAAGTACTCCAATTCTCTCAAGTTCCACCGTATTCATCTTGAGCCGGATGCTGGAGCATGAAAAAATGCGCGATACGGCCCACTTCCTAATTCGGGATTATCAAAAAGCGGCCGAGTTTCATTATTCGGCGATATTCATATTGAAAATGGCTAAATCCGTATACGCCAAATCGTTTAGGGCTCTAGCTCTTCTTGAAATACCCCAAAGACCTACCAAAGAAATGTTGGACAATTATGTAGACTACTTCAATCGTCAAACGCAATCTCGTAAATACGTATATTCGCCCATAAATCCGATAGTTGCGTTCCTAATAGAAACCGTTAAAATGTATTGTAATGAAGAATGAAAAAGTTTGTATTTCGTGCAAAAATCTTTAATAAATATCAGTGCAAAGCGCTTTCGGCCGTGGCCATCATCAGTGCAACCTGAAAGTAAGGAAAAACACTTTCTGAAGATACTGGAAAAATGTATGAAAGTTTGGAAAATTTTCGTTTTTTTGAAATTTTTTGAAAATTATCTGAAAAATCTTGGAAAATTTAATCTAAATTAATTTAAAATATTCAAAAAGAAAGAAAATAATTACTAAAGAAAGTAGATTTACTCACTTCGTCAGATTTGTACAAAGAGTCTTCTCGTTCAACATATAGGTGTAAAGGAACGAAAACATCACATTACAAATTAAAAATTAACACTTTAAAATATCGGAAGATCTTTGGTTTTTACTGGTACTCTATGCGAAGGCTGTGTCTTTTCAAATTACAATCACATCGAAAGATGTTTTTAAGTTAAAATTTCTTTAAATTTTGTGTGGAAGGCCAACATGGTGATGAATGATGTGCAGCCATTTTGTGTATGGTTGCACGTTTTTAATTGTGGTTTCCCTTTAGAGTGACACATGACAAGTAAGTCAGTGTAGCTGACAAGAGCGGGAAGTTCGAAAAATAAAAGTTTATAAAATCCAAAACCATTACCAACGTTTTTTAAAACAATATTTGGAGAATTAAGATGGTTATAGTGAAAAACAACATAGCTAAGTGGTGTGACCTGTAGTGTAGATGACGAGCTAGTCGTCCACAACGTGTAGACTACCCTTATATCATCATAGAGTGGAAATAGGATATATGAGTTTCAGTTGAAATAGATGAAAATTTTTTTAAGTAAAATAATTGAATAAATTGATTTAATTAAGATCCTCTATTGGTTTTTTTGATTTAATTCAAAACTCTTTAATTAACACATGAAATAGATAGGTTTATTATGATTAAAAAATGCCCCAAACATTGACTCCCATTCTAAGCTCACTTGCGGACACTTACTGTAGATGTGCCATATTTATAAATTATCCTAAGTTGCAGGGAAAATGGAATTGGAAATTGAAAAGAATATATTGTAAATATAAAAACCTAGATAGGTATGTATATACAATTATAACACAAAATATCGCGGTGCTTTCCAAAAGTGAATAGGAATAATTATTATATAAAATAATAATCTATTATCACAATGAAATTTGAATAAGAATTTGTGCTAGCTGAAAATGGCAACACTGCCTAAAATCTCGGAACCTGGTTGTATTCGTCTGGGAACGCCCACCTGAATCGTTTTATCTTTGTTAAGATAACCAGATAAAGAAGGATGCAAATATTGCCAGAGCAAGCCCGACCATAATTGCGAATGCGCTCTAGTATTCATAGTGAGAAATGTCAAACGGGTTTTGTTTGTAATTGGTCCGCATTGTCCGCAATCTTATCCCCACTTCATGTAGTTCATTCATTAATTCACTATTGTCGTTTAGGATTGTTGGCCGCAGAAACCAAACGATTTTATGAATGACTTGCCCTCTCTATTTATGTAGTGTTACTCTGAGATTCAAAAGACGTCTGTGTAAGGGGATGTAAGATCTATTAAGGTTCACCTGAGTGTTGAGACAAGAGAAGTTGTCCTGAAGTTCGTTTCTGATTTCAATGTCCCCCATAAAATCCAAACGGTTGAAGTTTTTAGAGCGAATTTCGTGAAGAATTTTCGAATTTGACCTGGGGCTGAAATTATGCTTAGTTGTCCTAAGTGTTCACCAAAGGCAGAGGTAGTTTTTGTAAGATGTTCTTGTATTCGAATCTTGAGAGGTCTGCAAGTTCGCCCAATGTAAGTGCAATTGCAGGAGTTGCAGTTTAATTTATATATTCCACTCTTGGACAGGTGATCAATTTTGTCTTTGGAGTTGACCAGAAAGGAAGACAGGTTATTTTTGTATTTGAAAGAGATTCTGATGTTGTTGTTGACATTTTGGTGAAAGACCTGTAGGATTTTAAGATTCAAATCATGATTCAAGAAAGGAATAGCAATATATTTCTCTATTGGCTTATTCAGGGTAGGAAATAACTCTTTTTTCAATCTTTTATATTTAGTTTTTGTTATGAGGGTGTCAATTAAGTTTGGGTCGTATTCGTTATTATATGCTAGTTGTTTGAGAATTTTAACTTCGTTGGAATAGTCTTCTTTTGAGAGGGGTATGTTTAGTAATCTGTTAATGTAGCAATGGAAAGCTGCAAGTTTATGTTGTCGAGGGTGGTTAGAACTTTCAGGGATGGTGTGATCAGTTTGTGTCGGTTTTCTAAATATTGAAAAATTGAGTTGATTGAAATGTTTTTTGTGAATTGTAATGTCTAAGAAGTTGATTGAGTTATTGTGTTCAATCTCGAGAGTGAATGAGATCTTAGGGTGTATTGCATTCAATTTTTGAAGGAGAAGATCAGCATGATTGTGGTTACCATCCAGAAAGCAAAGACAGTCATCAACATACCTAAACCAGTGTAGAATCTCTTTATTGGAGTTAGTGATTATATGTTGGTTTTCCAAGAAATCCATGAAAAGGTCGGCCAAGAAAGGTGACAAGCAACTTCCCATGGCGAGCCCATCAGGTTGTTGATACACGGTGTTATTGAAAGAAAAATAATTTTGCAAAAGGCAATGATTCAGAAGTGAAAGTACATTGATAACAGTAGTTTCAGTAACATTTTTTGATCTTAAGAGGTCACCCACGATATTGACAGCTTCGCTCTTTGGGACGGTTGTGAAGAGATTGGTAACATCGAAAGAAACTACTAAAAAATTGTTGGGTAGATTTAAGTTAGACAATTTATTTATTAAATCGATTGAATTACTTACCCCAAATTTAGGTGAAAATGAAGATAGATTTTTAATCAAGTTGAGAATGAATGAAGAGAGAATAGCTACTGGTGTGTTGGAAAAGCTTACTACTGGCCTTATTGGAGTGTCAACCTTGTGGATTTTTGGATTCTTGGTAAATTTGGATTACTTGACATGAGTGTTTTAGGAGCATTGTGTTCTAGAAAAAATTCACTGAAATGTTTTATAAGTTTGTTAGTTTTTTTAATGAAAGTGTTATGTGGATTCGACTGTAAAATCTTGAAATTATTATTCTGAAGGAAAGTTACTGCTTTAGAAATGTAATCATGTTTGTTGAGAACCACCTAATATGTATTCCCCTCTCTTCATGTTTATTTAAAAAAATAAAAAAACTGATTAAACTTTTCATATATGTGTTTTATTTAAAAAATATAATTTAACTTATTACTATATTTCATTATTATGAAATAAAAAAATATGTGTGTCTCCAGTGTGATTTGAGCCCACAACCTTCAAACTAAAAAGTTGGATGTGGTGCTAATTGCGCCATGGAGGCATATTTATTTTTCATACACAATTAAAAAAAAAAAAATGTCTCCAGTGTGATTTGAACACACAACCTTCTGATTTGGAGT